TTTTTTTTTTTTTTTGATAGACGTGCCCACCACCTATGGTCTAACAAGTTACATCCCCTATATTTCAAACTCTATAAGGACCTCGATTTATGTGCTAGCATGCTGTATTTTCTCGTGTGATCTTGGCAAAGTCATAAAGTAAGTTTATCAATTGATTAAGATTCATTAATGTGTTAATTATGATGTAGATCAATTTGTTGTTCGTTGCCCAAATAATCCTTAGTGTTGTCATCAAAAAGCCTGTATTTTCGTAACTCGCAATTCTAAAACTTTACCAACAGATCTAGAGTTCGTCAACCCTGAATGTATCCTCGGGTTACCGGTTTCCGTGCACTTCTAATCTTAAGAAGCATCCGCGATTTCGTACTCATACCGACAGAAAACTGTTGAAATTACGGAAGACTGTCATAAACTTGTTTACAATCTACTAAAGGAAACAAAAAACTAGCAACATAAAACTGTATTTAAAAAAAAATCGGAACAAACAATTTTTAACAAATTTCTTCCGTCGGAAGTAGCCGTCATATGTTTCCGTGAGTCTATTTTGAATTAGTGTTCAAAGAAAGATAACTCGAATACACTAAAAAGAAATTCTCTACAGTGACATGCAGGAACAAAAGCTTCGTTTGGAATAAAAAAAATATCTTTGATTGTCAAATTAACTATCAAAACATTTTATTTAAATTTCACATTTTTAATTGATTTCATGTAATTTTCTAAATTTATTTATTATATTTATTTAGCTATAATATAGAATCTGTTATTTTTTTTTTTTGCGGTTTTATATCGGTTTTGGTTGATGGTAAGTTATTTCTCATTTTGTTCTGTTTAAAAATGGTGAAAATTGGAAGTCCATTGCATTACAAGGTTTACGTTTCATTGAAACACTATTTATCGATATAAGAATGTCTCCTTGGCTCCTCGGAAGTGGAAAAAAATCAGCGAGGAGATGTGGCTTCATTTGCATACAACATTTTTGTACGTTTGTCAGACTACAAAAAAGACCGGTTCATGAATGAAATATGGTATCGGCTCATTTTGAGCAAGATAAAAAGTAAGCAAAACTGCATATTTATGCGTGAATTTTTAATCGATGATTATTTCTTATGTTTTCCGGACGCACGTCCGATAATTTTTGTGTCAGTTTACAGACGATGGCACAACGTCTTAAATATCCTTGTGTTGTGTCCAGCAGGTGTTTGAAAATCTGACTGTAAATTGAGATTAAAATCATAAAAAATGAAGGTATTCACGTTACTATAAAAAAATATGTTTATTTCATATGATTTTTATCTCAATTTAAAGTCAGAATTTCAAACACCTTTGCTTTAATCAGCCCGTCCGTCCGTAGAAAAAGTTATTTTCCGTACAACTCCTTCTAAAGTAACGGACCAATTTCAACAAAACTTTCCATATATATATATGATAACTACCACCTGTAGTTGTGCATCCAGGTATTGCTTTTTCATTCTGACCCTTTCGTACGAAGTTATGTCCCTTTGTTG